GCCGGGCTAGGAACATGCATCTTGTACCATGCATCTGCCCCTCGACATGAATAAACACATCGTCGTCAAGGAAGCAGGCGCAGAGATTTTAATGAAGGGAGAGCCACTGGATACAGGTGAATGGATCTGTGAGCAAGATGCGGTAGGGCGCAGAGATTTTGTTGAAGGGAGATTTGAGGTCTTTGCCACTGGATACAGACTGAATGGATGGCAAAGAATTTATGTGTAATGTTCTAAACCAAACCGAGCATCAATGTGAACAATATTCAATTGAACACAGTAGCTGCGCTAGTTACGCTAGTTAGATAAGTCCAAGCGCCAGGCGAGAGGGTCCAGAGTCCAGACATGTTTTCCCCTCTGCTTGCACCTACCAGAGTGGCACGATGTGGCACGCCAGTCTTGCTCCAAGTGAAGAGCTTTGTGTTTGTTCTCGTGACCGCAAATACGACCATGGGACACAAGATCCTGATTTGGTTTCTTTTGGTGAGTTCAGTTGTACCCAACAGAATACCGTGGAACGCACCGTTGATCGCAGCACAACAACCGAAGGAGCCTGAGGACCCCAGGACCCCCACTACCCACGAACCAAGCATCATGAAGCGCCAACTAGCTGGAGAACAGCGGCCATGGAATGGCTGGCGGGTAACGGATGGCTTGTCCGCTTGAGTTTATCCAAAGGATGCTTTGGCCCAAGCTGGCAAAGCCAACACCGATTCCTGCTGTCAGGCATATATCACACCGCAGAACAGGCGGGTGCACTTGAACGAAGAAATGCCCCCAGAACGAGGGTGCAGAGTCACTTCACCACAAAGAGCAGAAACCCACATGCTAATTCAAAATCACCACTATAGAGACCCATGAATCAAGAACTGAAATGAATTGCTCTCAATGTTTGCATGTTTGGTGTGGGCATGCAACACCTCAAGGGCGATAACAAAATTAATGTGTTTAGCCTGCATGGCCAGGCCTGGATCTTTTTCTGAAGCGTTTTAGACAGGGTTTCTGAAGCGTTGGGCAACGCCTTTTCGAAGTGTACGCCTTTTGGGCGGGAACGAAGCCGATACAGAGCCTGAGGACGCCCGGCGTTTCATCATGGATTGGTTCAGTTGGAATGGGGTTTCATCATGTTTCATCCCGTCCTGGCGTTTCCCACGCCACGCGGGAAAAAAACGGACAATTGGTTGCTTTTCACATCCTGCATTGTTCACGTCCTGCACTGGAATCACTGTGCACCATTTCAATCCACAAACGAACTCTGGCTCACGCATGCTTCACCAAGAGCCTCCCACATCTTCCGCATCATGCGTTCACAGTTGTTATTTTTCGGATAGGAACCCTCCACATGTTTGCATGAACTCTTCCGCGTTCACCGGCGATTTCGTCCTAGGAAATTACTCTTTCCAGAGGCTTGGGACGTCCTTTCAGAGAGGTCGTGTGGCGGTCGCTGGTCCGGTCGGTGGAATTAGGGGATCGAGAAATCAACACGGATTGAAGATGATTTGTTTTAATGTTGCTGGTTTACTCACTATATATCCTCATGTCTATGAGTTCTTTTGTCCTCGCCAGGAGCTACGTTCGTAGCGTCCTTGCTACTAGTTCTACTGCCCTCGCTACTAGTAGCGATGCCCTTGTTGCTACGTGCATGGCCTGGTCCCATGGATGACCATGAAATCCGAATACCAAACAGGTGGTGCCATCCACTTCCATGATAATTTCAGGGAGTGTCTTGCCTACATGATCAGTTGCACAACTCTTTTTGAACTTGAAACCTTCATGCAGATTAGTAGGTGGGACTGAGCTTTGATTTACGCATCTAAGCACTATAGCGGTCGAGGTCAGCCTCAACTTGCCTAAGTTCAAGATGAGTGCTGAAGATAGTTGGCTTAGCTGACTTGGCTGAGACTTACTTGGGTTTGCCTTGTTCATAGTCAAAGCTAAGTCCTAGTGCACGTCTAGCTACGTATCTCAAGCAGTCAGAAAGTGTCAGTGTTTTGTAAGATAGACTTCCAACTCTAGATAACATTCAGATTCCTAGTTGGGGAGTGAGGGAAGTGTCGCCCCCCTTTTTTGAAAGGCACACTCCCTGTACGACTGGATCCCTATGGGAACATATCCCAGACACTCCATGGGACTGCCATATTTGCCGCCCCATTGACCCCCAGTCAACCACCCCTGGCCTGATCGGCAGTCCCATGACACTTCCATGGAGTGTTTGGGTATAACCTATACCTGTATGCCTACATTGACCCCCCAGTCAACCACCCCTGGCCTGATCGGCATATAGTCATGTATACCCCACTCCCATGGAGTGTTTGGGTATAACCTACCTTCCATGTGAATGTTCCCAGCTTTTCACTCCGTTCGCAGCTCTTACCCGCCACGACCGTCGGACTCTCGAGCGCGCTCTCGACGGCAGGTCTCGGTGGACATCACCAGCTTGGAGGGGTGGGGGTCCATAGGAAGCGGATGGGCAGACTGATCCCTTTCCAGTGGAGGTTGGGGGAGTGCCCCATGTTCTGAGATCCATATCGATTTGTTTGCCTGGATCTAGGGCAAGAGTTCATTGGCAAGCTCTTCCACTGCGGTGTGAGTTTTCTCGACAGGTGTGGACTCAACTGGGCCATTGTCGGTATGTCCAGGTCACCCAAGAACTTCATGATTATTGGGGGCCCGATCGGACAAATAGAGCAACACCTATTGTGAGCTGTCTCAGAAGCGCTTGGAGACAGTCCATCATTCAGCCAACTTGTTGGATCCAAAAACTATCAAAAAGATTCAAAAAGAAACTACAATTGTTGTTATTTCAATATTTGTCATTCCGAGAGTTAGACCATTGTAGTTCAAAGGTGCGACCACAGCCACCAGCTTCTCGACTCCAGTGACTGGCAGCCAGTCCGTTCGGCGATCGTGGACGAACAGCAAGGAATGGCAATCGGAACATCAGCGCACCAGGAAAGTGACGAATGCTATTTGGGTGGCACGTGGCGATCGGAGACAACGAGCGGACAAGCTGGAAGTATGAAAATGCAAACACCATGAATGATGAGAGTTGGAGAGCTGCTGCATGGCTGCAAGAGAATTGGAAAAGCTACAGCTGATGGCTTGCGCCTGGTGACCAGAAAATGGAAGGCGGCCCAAAATGTCTATAGGACACCCAGATGGACAAAGATCAGAAGCAGAACAGGAAGGGCCCTATAGACTCTTGATTGGTCAGACTCCCATTTGAATTGGACATGCTCTTCAGGCCTGAGGTGAAACATGTTTACATTGTCCGAGTCCACATCATCATCCGAGTCTTATGAAGCATCTACATCATATGAAGAGACAAGAGTCTACATCATCCGAGTCCACCTCGCGGGCCTTGCGCTGCATCCAGGTGTCCTTCTGGATGCTCACTGGTGAGGTCACCGAAACGTTTGCAGCGGATTGGGCCAGAGACGCCTGCAGATGTGGACCCGGAGGCCAACGCTCATCCACTCAGATGAGCCCTCCAGGTCCTTCCAGGCAAAAAGACCTCGGGAGTGTGTTGTGACCCATATGATCCATCATGACAGTCGACAAAAAGAAACAGCTGTGAGGCTGGTGGGGCCTGAGTTGAGGGCTGAGAATACAAGGACTTGAGGCAACTGGAATACTTATAAGCATTTATAAGGCAACATCAGCTAGAAGAATGGGTCTATGGACCACCCTGATCATGTGTTTACCATGCATTAACCATATACTTTGGGTGGTGCTGGAGGGCGTGCCAGCTTGTCACCCCAATGATCTTGAGGAAAGCTCTATAAGCACTTTGGTTGAACTCACCAGCAGTAGGATCGGCCGCCTGCTTGAAATGCAAGGTGCACCTGGGATAATTCAAACAAATTGAATGCGCGGCTCTCCGTGTGCCATCGATGGGTTTGGACGATGTGTTTTCTTCTTCGCTTGATATCGCTTTATACCTTTCTCTAATTGGAGTCGCTCACTCCATCAATTTGAGGGATGGCTTACTAGTATTTTTCTTCTACTCCAGCTGCATTCCCAGAATTATATATCCGGAAGGGCATGGTATACCTGGACTTCCCAGCTGTTCATGCCGTCCAGTTGCGGTCAGCCTCGGTCCGCGACGAGGTCAGCCTCGCTGGAGTCGAAGTCTGCAGGTGGGCGTTGACGAACGACGTCTTCTCCTCACTGGAGTTGGTCATACAAAAGCAATACTGAGGGAAAACAAAAGGTTTTTACTGAGTGGACTTGTAGGGTTTTGGTTCTTTGGAAGAAAACCAGCTTTCCGGAGAAACGTAAAGAGTGTCACTTGCATGGTTATACGTACTTTCAGCCCGTCACGCTGTGAGTTTTGGAAGCACGGATGAACATTTGTCCTTCATGGCCCCCAGCAATCCATTCATAGGTAGAAGTTTAGATGCCCACGAGAAGTTCATGGCAAAACCAGCAGGCCTATCGTCGTGTGTATGCTAAAATTCTACTTCTTTAGACGTCAGAGCCCCCAACGATACAAAAACCTGCTTTCCCTTCTGACACATTGTTGTTCATGGCTGTGTGGGTCCTTAGCTGTATTTTTTGGTTGGTAGCCTTCAGCAAGCCCTAGAAGGCGTCGCTTGATTCGACATCTAAGTTTGGTGAGAAAGAAGCACATTTCCACAGCACGCCAATACGGAATCACGAGTCAAGAACATGCCCTGTGCTATCAGCTGCTATCATCAACGGCCCCGGTGTCCTCCGGTGTCGCTGAGTTGCCGAATTCTGATCGTTCGGGGCGACCTCTAGCAGGAATCCAGGAATCCAGGCAAAAGGCATGTGAGCAGAACTTGATGACATCTGCGTCTACCAACCAACCTGCAGTTCTATCAGCTCTATCGCGTACCCAACAGTGTTGTGTGTTGCTGTTTCCTTGTGGGTCTCATCACCACCGAATAGACTCAAGTGGACAAGGTCTTCATCCTTGGGACCTCCAGATCTCGCTGGTCTTCGGCCAAACAGCGGAGCCAGGTCCACAGGTGCTGATGAAGGAGGATAGCTGTCACAGGGACACCACCTTCAACTCCTTGTACCTCGAGGCCCAAACTGGGCACGGGTCGCGAGATTTGATGTAGGGCGCCTAATTAGGGCAAAGGCTAGTTGACATCACACACGACAATTCATAGACAGAAATACCGAAAAGGATGCTGAGGTGTTTGATCAAGGTCTTTGGTCCCAAATCCGGGTTGCTTTGTGTGTTCATTTTTCGGGTGTGCTCCGTGCTCCGGAGAGACATTCGATCTCTTGTGTTCCGACTCTTCACGATCCCATCTCCAGTTCGCCGAGAAATCACAAGGAACTTCCCAGTTAGGTGGTTTAGTGGACCCCCATTCTGTTTGAGACATCTTGGGGTGCCAGTGCCATCGAACCTCTGAAATCACTGCAATTCCAACGAGGTGGAGACTGGAACTTTGCATGACGTCACCGGAGGGCTGCGCCTTGGCGAGCTTGGAGTTGTCTGGATGATCGGATGGATGGCCGGGTGTTTCGGTGTATTCTTTTGGGGAAAATATGTTTTTAAACAGCCACACTTTTAAGATCTTTTAAGGCTTCTCCAAAGAGCTGGCCGGATGAACTCCAAGAGTTCTATGGATGGCCGGGTGGAACCACTAGACATGGACATGCGACTCGCGACGAGGCGAGTGAGTTCGCCGCTTGTTTTGTGTTCACGGCCGGTGCCGTGGCGAAGATCGATGCGAACGAGCCACACATGTTGGAAGGGGCATCACGTCGAAGGTGGAAGGGTATGCGTAGCGGCGTAGCGTGGGGGTCGAAACGTGTAGGAGAAGGAAGACGGATATGGGTGAAGCAGACTGGCGAAGACAATAGTGTAATAGCGAGATGCAGGACACTCACATGACAGGCCACGTCCCTACAATTGAAACTACATCCTTAGAGGATCTTAGAGGCTAATACTTACGTTCTTTGACATCTTCGCATGGGCTTCCAAGTGTGGCACGCTCACACGCCCTCAATCAAAAGCTGTTTGTGCTTCACTACCACTATCATATATTCTCTGCCACCACTTGGGTAGACTGAACGAAAGGTTGGGTGTATTTGGGTGTGGTGTTCAGAACACGTCCAACCACACGATCCAGTGATCCATGATGACCCATGCATTGAAGTCGAGAAGAATCCTTTGAACATGTTTGCTAGCATCGACTGGATATGAAGAAGGCTACCATGAATTTCCCATGGTGTTGGAGTTCATCGCCTTTTTGGTGTTTTCGTCAAGCTGCCGTTGAAACGCGGCGCCCTCCCTCTCAGGCCAGACCTGGCGCAGGGCCTGGTGCGTTCCCCGCATCCGGAGGGTGCCAAAGCGTCCTTCTTGGAGGATCCGGCACCTGGGCAAGCAAAACGCGCCTGGATCCGGATCCTGGATCCGAGACGTACTGACACCGTATGTGTTGTTTCCTCTAAGGGGGGGTACATGATGTGTATATACACTGCCGAGAGAGGGAGATGTATATGTCCGAAGCAAAGATGGCTAGACTTCGGAAAAGACTAGAATTCCTGTGGAGCGTGACAATCTTCAGAACTATTTAGAGGCGCTTGGTCTTTGTTTGGCTTCTTGTTTTTCTTGTGGATGCATGTCAATGCTTCCACCACTGCGAGATCATACATTCGGTGGCAGTGTGTTCAGTAGTTTGTTCACTTTGCCCAAGCATCGTCTCTTTCGACGTGTGAGATCAACCGAACCTGTGAGGGGCACTCAATTCGGATGATATCATCCAAAGAAGAGTATTGGAATTCCTTTTTGTTCCTGTGTTTCAATTTGCTCAAGCTAATTTTATACCTTTTCATACTAAACTGTAGGCCGGTGAACTGGTGAACTGGTAAGTCCATATGGAATCCAAGCCGTCGTGCTCTACGTCCCAGCGCGTTGGGACCCCGCTCGGCTCTTGCGCCCTACGTTCCAACGCACGCCCTGCCAGGTGCGTTTGCTCCGCTTGCTGCGCTTCGCTGCCCGCTACGACTTCCGCCTCGACGACGAGGTGCTCCGTGCCGCGGAGGACGCCCAGGTGCACAAGGCGACGGGACGGGAGGACCGGTGGGGAGATCTAGAGGGGATGGTCGGAATTCAGAAGCGAACGGGCCGATGAAGGAGAGGTGCTTTGAAGGAGCACGGTAAATTTCATCATCTAAAATTTAGAAGAAACATGCAGCCACACACTGAAGTAGGTTAAAATTGTAAATGAACACTCGCTAGAACCAAAGACCATGCTATTGGCCGCCAGTCCCAGACATTGGCCTTTGGGCCCGTCTCTCCCTGTGCTGCAGGCCCTTGGTGAACTTCTCGAACACCAACGTGGCCGAGTGCTGTTCGAAGTGAAGAAGGTGAAGAGGGGTGGCTGGCGGCTCCCAAACGGCCGTGTGACTGGACGGGCCATGGTCCATGGTGGCCATTGGCCAGGACTGACTCACCTACCTAGAGCTTGGGTGACCTGTTTTTTTTAATAGGGCAAGGCTATATGTTGGGTGGTTGGTTGGTCCAGAAATAGAGGTCACTTCAAGCAGGAGCAGGTTTTACATGTCCTCAATCCGGGATCCTTGCATGATTCAAAGCAGGTCGGTGCCCGAATTCGAATTGGTGCTCCTTTCAGGCGCTTCTCTTGCACAACCAGCCCTGGCGCTTTTTGGAGCTTTGTGGAGCTTGTGAGGCGCCTGCCGCCTGCGGAGGGAGCGGCTGTGGGGTAGGCTTTGCTGTTGTGAGCTCTTAGAGCATTTGAGTGGACAACAGCGTAAGTTGCTTAAGAACCTGGACCTGAACTTATATTAAGTAATTACAATGAACCTCTTTGAGTACCTCATAGTGAAGCCAAAAATGGTTGATGCTTTCCTTATAGGACGACCTCCAGCCGGTTCCTCCTTCCCTCGTAGGGCCCACCGGACACCCCGGTCGACCGGACGTGGCGGTTGGCGAAGTCCGGGATCCTTTGAGCAGGTGCAGCAGCATGGGTGAAACCAAGCTCCACCGGTTTGCACGCCCCAAGTCTCAGGGTTTTCAACCCACTAGATTAAATAAAATTAAGTGGAATTGGAGCAAGTGGTCCCTCAAACTGTGTGCCTATGTTTGCATGTTCAGACTCATTTTGGAGTTGCTGTTGCGCAAGAGATGGGGGGAAGTGAAGTGTGCTGGTCAGGCAGCAGACCTTCAAATTTTTGAGTTTGAAGCCATGGGCTTATGGTCTTTTTGGAACCGTTTTGTTTTGTGCAAAAATTGTACGTGTGTGAGATGATCCGCCGGTTCAGAAGCTACCTGGATGTCCGGAAGGCTTGCTCCTCGCTGAAAACCGGTAACACCACCCGGCTGCCGCCAGCTCATGTGTTTCAGCGAGCAGCCGTCGTACAGAACCCGTGGATTTCAGAGGGAATCCCAATCTCAAGTGATACCAGATTCACTCAAGAGGGGGTGTCCCGTTTGGAGAACCAGCAGATGCCACAAGCAGTGAAGCCTATTGGTTGCCCCATCGGAGGGCCCAGACAGTTCTAGCCTTCTGATTATGATTTGGTTCCATCGTTTTTTCTAGGAATCCTGATCATGCATGTGACGACCCCTTTGCCAAACAAAGTGACATGTTTTATCCTTGTCACTGGAGACCCCCTGGTGCTTGCAGAATGTGAAAACCCTCCCTGTTACGTTCTCATGGAAGTGGAGTTCACCTCGTCTTCCTTTCGGGGCCAGGAGAGGAGGGTCTGCCCCCCCACGATGCCTTCAGGGATGCTGCGGTGCCCTCCAATTCGATCAACCCATGCTGCAGACCTCATCAGAGCTCGGTGCCCCGGTGCCCTCCGAGGCTTCCGGCCACTCATGCCGCCAGGTGCATCCAATCCTCTTCACCTCGGTACCATCGCCGCTGTGGCCCGGTGCTGTGGGCACCGTGCGCCGTGTCTGGGCCGTGTGATTTCACCGTCGTGCCAGTCATGGGATCCCCATGGATGTGGATCATGTGGATGTTGGAACAGGGGGGACATGGGATCTACATGTGGTGTGAATTTGTTGGTTCATGTTTTTTCTGATGTTCTCATGCATGGACGTCTTGGAGCGGTCATGCTCACTTCCCGCTCCACGGAGCCACCGATCACGGGAAGCAGAGCCACTGTAGCCGCCCAAGCATGAGGATGATGTCCCTAGCCCGAGTTGATGATTACCTATGAAATGAATCGAATTCCCTGGAAATGAATGATTACCTGAGTACCTGAGTACCTGAAAATGAATCGAGTTGATGATTACCAGTACCTGAGTACCAAATCGAATTCCCAAGCGGCCTCCTGGTGCCCGCGGGCCGCGACGTCCGAAGACCGCCAGGCTTGGGCCAGTTGCTGCTCTATGGCCTTGAGTCGGAGCAACTCACTGCACGCTCGCAGCGCTTCCGCGGACGCATCCAGGGAGGCGAGTCAACAGAAACGCGCCGGTGGGGGGAGGGGTGGTGAACTTGCAGCCTATTTGCTCAATTTGGAGGCATTCTGCCTTGTTCCCACTCACTCTGTGCCATTGGACTCCTTTGGATAGACCCCTCATCTTTCCCTTGGCCGTCACTGTCCTCACTGGCGCTGGTCTTCCGCCTTTGCCAGCGACTTTTCTTCCACCTTCTCCTTTTCTTTCCTGTTCATTTCCCTTCCTTTCCTTTCGAATCCTCATGCAAGCATCAGCATGGCCTTGATCTCTGCCATTCCAATCAGAGCCTTCACGCTCGTATTACTCCTCCTCGACCCATAACCGTCTTAGCGTTGCCCTCCAAAGACCATCATCGTCATCATGTTCTTTTGCATCCACCCACATCATGTGGTATGGCTGCACTTTGCTTTGCGTGAGGCCACTCCAGCCCTCAGCCGTACCAGGACGCCGGCCTGAGAGCAGAGCTCCTTTCTTCTTTCTGATTTTCTGGGATCTCATCCCCAACGGGGAGGTGCCCCGATCCTCCAATTCGGTAGTCAGGAGTTCTGATATATTCTCAGGCCTTCGGTTTCTGTGATTGACCGTCGTGTGGCCAGACATGCCGTTCGCTGCTTGGCAAGACATGCCTCCTCGTTTTGCCGCACCCTGGAGGGCAGGAAGTGTCCGTTCCTATGCCCTGATGGGTTGCATGGCGTCCTGTTGAGACTCCATCGCATGTTGAGCCTGAAAGGCCTCCTGTTTCTGATGTACTTGCTGCAAGTTGTGGCAAGTGCTCGCAGCAAGCGATTGTTTTAGGGAGCCAGGCGTTCAGCGAAGGGAGTCAGTTCCTGTTCAACATGTTGACCAGTGGCCATCCGCTTTGGGACAAGGAATGGGATTCCATCATGGCCTTGCGACTGCTGCGAAAGGAACATGGCATGGAACCGAGTGACCAAGACACACCGGCAATGCGTGATATCAAGCGCCTTGCGGTGGAAGGGCTTCAGGTGCATTTCTTGATTTAGTGCAGGGTGTGCGGTGTGCTGGTTCAATCCACAAGTTGTTCGGACTTGCGCTTTCCGTGTTTGGTGTTGGCGCCTGACAGGTGCAGTGAACAGAAGTGGACTGATACGCTATGTTCTGTGCCACGAGGGCCAGGAGTTGAAACGAGACCGGCCAGCATGTTCAACTTGCTGTCTTCCCGGCAGCAGGTGGACAAACCAGAGCAGGCCGAGAAGCTGTACATACATTGCTGGGTTCCCGGTCTCAGACAGACTTCACCAGCCAATTTCTGGTCATTTGTGGTTGTGGGAGACACTGCAAGCCTGCGGACACCTGCGAGCAGCCAGCGTGATTCATGTTTGTGGCTTCAGCGGGGGGCGTTACTGTTTGACCTTCCGTGGGCGGTCCTGTCACCTCGCATGGCGCCTGTCGCAACTCGTCCGGTTCAGAACTTGGAGCAAGGCCGAGACAACGTTGGTTTGTTGGGAGTTGGAGACTGTTGAGGGAGTTGGTGGCCTGGTCTCCCAACGTGCGACAACGTGCTGCACGCACGTATCGCCTGCAAGGAGACGTATTTGCTGAGCCCAGACCTAGCCAAGCTCAAAGGGGAAGAGCCCGACATTCAGGGCAAGACATGTTCTTTGCAAGAGCTGATTGTTTCCCTAGCCTTCATGAATTTATGAAGGTTGAGGCCGCGGCAGTTGAGCAGACTTGCTCTGGTCCAAAGTTGAAAGGCTGGAACCGTTTGGTTTGTCAAGGTGTGTTGGTGCAACCTAGCAGCATTTCACCTGTCGCTGCTAGTGGGTTGCTGGCTGACAGCTGACCGCTTCAAAACGCGGTCGCCCTTGCCCACGCCCCGGATCAGCTTCAAGTTTTGTTTTACAGTAGTCTTTCAACAGAGCTACCACCAACACACACCCTCACAGGAGCTGGCCGCCAGTGATGGCTACCCACAAGAAAGGACCGACCTCCCTGAGCCTTGAAGCTGCGGAGGAACATCCAGTTCATGCATGCAACATGTTGTTTCGAAGTCTGCCTGATCTTGCGGACGTGATTCCGTGTGCAGCTTGGTCGGCTAACCGATCTGTGGTGAACCCATCATAACTATGGTGGGCCTCATGGGGGTTTCTATGCGAACCTTAAGAGTAGCTGCCTGGGGCTGCCATTGAACGCCTCTAACCTGAACCAAGTCCCAATTGGCATATCGTTGCTCCTGAAGACGCAACGTCTTAAATATATTACCAAGACTGTCGAAGACATATCGCGAGTCTGTATATATATAGATATCGCGAGTCTGTTTCTAGAGGTACGGTGAACAGTCTTGTTTGGATATAAGACGCTGTTGGCCAATTCATTCACCTTCAATCATGTGATGCAGCCGCATGATCCGCCAGGCACGTTGGCCCATTCTGTGGTTGGCAGGGATGAGATGTCTCGAGTGTCCACACAGTCTCCGTTTGCGGCCCTGGCCCTACCACCACTGTTTGGTTGTCACAGTCTCCGTCGCAGCGAAAATATGAACTTGGTGTTTATACACCGGTTGTGCATCATTAAGAAAAGTAACAACAAGGATATTGCCACATACATGCATGGCCTGACGCGTGACGCAACACTGGAACATTTGGGCAAGGGTAGCCACAGGAGGGCTGGGTTTTCTCAGAGTGCCTGTATGGCCCGTGGATAAAGATCCCAGATATGCTGAAAAGACCATCATTTTTGATTGATTCTTCATGTTGCCCGGCAAAAAACAAATAGTTTGGGTGAACCTGGACAAACAGCTAGGGCTCCCGCCTGCGCTGCTGACGCCTGACTGGCGCAAACTCGGTGTTTGGGCCCCTTGGCCAGAGCTGCGGCAGAAGGACTTGTCACAACGTACTGTTAATTACAGTGGTTTCATGCGTAGATGGCGCAAGTTACCCCAAGTTTGGTGGTTTTGGTTTGGACCACCCGTCTGTCTAAGACATGCCGGGGTGCCAGTGCCATCCTATTCTGAAACCACCCTAAGAGAAATTCCAATATATGGAGAGGTTTTGCGATCCAAATGGGAGGGATTTTCATGAATCACAATTCCATCACGAGCTCACTTTTTCACAGAGCAAAGGAAAACACTAAGTTTTTGGTTCATCGCCAACCAAACGAATGCCTTTTTTCCAGACAACTCGGGAGGTCCAAATATGGTAGATATAAGCATGTTTTGCATGAATCCTCCGACCATGGGAGCAACATCACTGAAGAAAAACCCACACGAAAACGACACCCAAAAGTCACCTCTCCTCCCCTCTTCCAACCCACCGGCCGGAAGACACAGCGTTATACTCGGCAGACAAGGACGACCATCGACCGACGCGTGGCTTTGGCGTGGCGCGTAGCGGCTTCTGACCGAGGAAAATGACTGGGTGGAACTGCTCGTCGCGGCTCTCGCTTGGCGCTTGAAGGCACGTCGACGGTGTTGGTGGGGTGTTGAGTTAAGTGAGGTGTGATGTGCAAGGGTTGTGGGCTGGGATTTGCCCCTAGTTCACTATAGAAATACCAGGTGTCTTGATGCTTTTGGCTTGGATGGTTTGGGACTTGAAGAAATCGCAGCAGAATGTGTGTTGAATTCCAGCAAGGTAACAAAGGTAAGAAGTTCTTTGGTTTGGGCGCTTGGAGCTTTTGTTGATTCTCTTGGAGGATGAGTAAGACAAACCACTTCTGCCTATTTCGGCGTCGATCAGAAACTGGGTTTGGTCCGGCTCGGCGGCATTTTCGGAGGGACAGGATAGGGTCCTGGGGTTCACACGTCCAGTGTTTCACTGAGTGGAGTTGTTTGATATCAACATATATCAACATGTTATCAACCTGAGTATCAACTCAGTTGTTTCAGTTGTTAACCCTCAACTCAGTTGTTTCAGTTGTTAACCCTCAACTCAGTTGTTTCACTGAATCTCAACTTCTTTGTTTTCGTTTCAGTTTTTGAGGTCAAAACGACCGCTGGCCTTTTGCCTCACCGGTCACCCTCCAGTTCCGTTTTGCTTCGATGCTGCGCGTCCACTGCCGAACGGGATGACCCACTGAACCCAGTTCCAGCACCCAGTTCAATATGTTCAATCAAACCACAACCGACCGGGCGGCCAGAGCGATGCCATCACCGAGCTGTGCGATCGCTTGCAACTCTCACGGACCATGGGTCGGGGAGCCCTGACATGGTGACCAGATCTGCGGGGTGCGCCCACGGTTGAGCGAAGCAAAACGGTTTTTTTCCGTGGTGTTTTGCGTGTTTTGGGGCTACAAAAAAAAACCAAACACTCCAATCTATGACTTAAGGAATGCAGGCCTACATTGACCCCCGAAGCCATCCGAATGTAAGCAAAACATGCCAGTCCCATAGGTCGTTTTTGGGTATGATGAGGCATCCAATAAGCTTTGGTTTTGGGTGGCAGACTGAAGAATCCACACTTGCCACACCCCATCGGGACCGAAAACGATCCAGAACATGGGCGTTTCCACCCATTTTTTAGCAGGAAACACTTCGGACTGTCCATGTGTTTCTTTTTAAAATAGGTGTTTTGGGGTGCCTTGGGGACAGAATTGGGTCAGCGAAGAGGGCTGTTTCGTGTTTTGTCTCCACAAAGTTTATATATTGGCCTTTCAGGGTTCGATTTTCCAGTTGCGGGGAGTGGTTGCAAAGGAGTTGGGCACACGAGCTCGTAGTGTAGACCAGGGGCCCCACAAACCATCAAAAACCTGGTTTTCCCTATCAAACAAACTGGTTTTGGTACGTGAAAACCTTGACTTTTCATGGTTTGGTTCGGGTCCCTGGGATGTATTTGTTGAAGATAAGCCATTCTAAGCGGCGCTTGGAGTGCATTCCCATGTGTTGGGGCCCAGTGGATCACCGCAAGGGAACGGGTCGACCACTTACACGCACATATGATGCGCGGTGAACCGCGCTAACTTTGATTGGTGGCCATCTACCCACAGCAGGCCATCCCAGTTTTGGGAGGTATTTCTCAAGAAAGCCTTGGGAGGGGTGACACATATATATATATATATATACACCAGGAGTCACAAAGGGGTGGTGTTTGGTCCGTAAGTGAGTGGATAATAGGCACCCCTAACCGGATAGCACCCCGTCTTGTGACTGCTGGTCTTTGGGGTTTCGGCCGGAAGATGCTAAACCCCTCAGCAGGTGCTGCTAGGCTCTCGGAGTACGTACTTGATCTGATCTGTATGAAACCCACCTCACTCGCCGATCATTGCGACTTCACTCTTCGCTCATCTTCCTTCCAAAGGGGTTTCCGGCTCCGGCTCCTCCTGAAAGTGCTCCTTCCCACCGTGGTGTTCGGGTGGGACGGTGGGCCTTGAAGGCATCCACCTGCAAAAGGTTGTTTTCCAGAGGTGGTGCATTGGAGCACTGAATTCACCGAATGGATCGACAGGAAGAACCCATCATATCATATGACATTTTATATGCTGAGGCAGCAGATTCACCCTTCGTGGTTTTGTTGGCTCAATCAAGTCAAGATGATGTCCTGGAGATGCTGAAGATATCTTGGACCCGAAGCGGGGGCAGCTCTGAAACATGGGGGATGGCAGCTTTGAAGGTGTTATGCTAAGCAGTGTTCTACTTCCTCAACCAGGCAAACCATTTGATAATTTGTTGATCTGTTGGGTGGCTTCAGAGCTGACTTAAGACTACTGAAGGTCCACCCTGGCCAACGACATCCCTTTCCAGCGACAGATCTCGCGCTGGGAGTGCGCACGACCCGCAGTCCACATAACCCAGCGTCCTCCGCCCGCTTCGAATCCAGCCGGCTCGATGAACCCAGAGGCGAGGTGCGACGAAAGTCCGGTTTTCGGTCGGTGCATGGCCCCATTGATCTAGAAAAGTGCAAGATCTTCCAATCAGAATAGATGCACTTCGTCCCAGTCCGCCTTCACGTTAAGACTCCACGGTTTCCCAAAGAAGAACCAACCCGAACCCAAACGCGCGCGGGTTTCCCAAGCGCGTGGCCGGTGTGCCGTTGTTGCCACCGGGGCTTTTGCCTCCACCATGGGCGTGAACGAGGAGACGACGTTTCGGTGGAAGATGATGGCTGTTTTCGGCCTCAAAGTCTCAAACACCTGCTACTAAAGAACATACATGGACCCCAAAACAAAGAATTGGGGATTTGTGAGCCTGAATTCCTTTACCAAGTAGGCTTCTTCAACTT